GGCCTATGAGGGTACTGAAAATCTAGGAGCCTGAACATTTAGAATATGTAGAGTTTGGCGGCCCATTATACTATAATTAGAATAACAAACACCCAAAGTCGTATTGGTACTTATTCAGGCCCCTATATTAGGCCTGCCGCTGCTGCCAGTGCTAATACTACTGAAGCTTCAACAGCACTTGGAATCGCTACGATCGCGCAGCGAAAAGCACGACCGAGCTGCTATGCTCCGTCTTGGTGTTTGTCGTCAGTGTTGCTGTTCCCAGGTGTGCAGTCATCGGAGGAGTAGCATTCGCCATCGCACTTAACAACAAGTTGGTGCGTTCGAACGAAAAGCACGGGCTATGCAGTCTGCAGGCACAGTTAATCTATGAGCCTTCGACAGAACATTACTGATGACTCTACTATAAACAAAAAACGGTCTTAGTATTCTCACATCTCTCGAAAGCCCACTGCTGTCGAGACGAAAGCCGAGTAATCGCAGTAAAGCGAAGCGGTCTGTGAACCTGTGGGCGCTCGCTCACACTATGCTACGGTCAAGGTTATCGGAAGGGGATGCGGGGTCACCGTGCCCGTCTTTCTGAAAGCTACCACACAAGGTCTTCGTCGCCCGCGGCCTTCTGTAAGCTCCCAAAAAGTATCGAAATCTAACAACAATAGCGGTGCTTTTCGTTTGTAGTAATACTAAAACCGAAAATACTATACTGTACTATAATATGTTATGGACTATACTTTTTGCTATAATAGGATACACTAGAAAGCTTCGAGCCCAGCCTGGTCCGGGAAGAACAGGATCTCGTCTGCATCGACATGCAGCAACCTGGTACAATGGGTGTCCGGTTTCCTGTCGGTTATGATCATTTAGGGAACCTTGCGTGGTGGGTCGCTACATATGATATGCCACAGTACTATGGTCAGTAATTACCATGGCCATATGGGTGGTTGTCAAAATTATAGTCTCTTCTTGGGTCCCCTATAATAATACGGCACCTATCATTTAGGGTACTCAGAAAGGGGCCATAATTTTCACAACTACTGCGCTAGTCCCTGGGCTTTGAGAATCAGGAGTTCCAAGCGCTCTTTGCCAGGGTGACTAGGAGAGGATGAGCAGCCAGGCTAAATCGAATAAGGGTGCACATAGTCGAACGAACAAACATTATGAGGAATGGCAATAATCATGACTCTGGGGTGTTATATCACCTGAGGTTGCTGCAAAGGCAAGGAGGACGCTACTTCTGCTATGCGGAACCCCTGCTTTGAAGAAGCAATTGCATGGCAAGTCTAGAGTCACGATCAGGAAGAAACCTCTTGGCCGTATACATCCAACATTCCGGTGTCGCTGCTCAGGACAAGGCCATTCGAAGCCCTCGCCCTGCGCTTCAAACAAGGCATCCTCGATGCAAAGCATTTGTCGAGCCTGTCACGACGAGCGGAAGGTTTGAACATCTCCGGATTCTGGATACTGCAGTAGTTGTTGCTGCTTCAGCTAAAAGTTCCACGGGAATCACACATCTTTTGACAGCTCCTAGCATGCGCATTCCCAGATCCTTGCACCCGGCACATCATCTGAGAACACCTATGCCAGTCTGAGGTGTTTGCTGCCATAATTCTTGTTGACGAAGCTTAGTGGCGGCTAGACACATGGGGGCATGCCTGGACGTCTTTGATGTTTGCATCCAGATGGGCTGTCTCACCTGATCTGGCATGCCTTCTTTGCAAGTTCGCGCACACAGCCTGTCAGATTCTCAGCCTATGATTCTATGATCTCAGGGGCAGGCGGTACAGCTCAAGCGTCTCATCCTCTCGCAAATAGTATCTGGAGCTCCTCACGCAACTTGAAGCAACTGGTGGCAGAGGCACGAATCACAAGGCCGCAGGCATTGGCATCCTCCAAACTCTACCTTTCTTCTGAGAAACATGCAAGCAACCTTTTCGCATGATCAGTACCATCATCGTTGTCACTTCAGTCTTGGTAAGCAGTAGCAGCCGCCTGGTCATTATCAATTGCAACAACATCAACCGGCCTTCGCACTTCAGTCCACCATGCCTGCGACAAGTGCAGAGAATCTACAGCCGTGTCAGTGGAAGAGCTGAGGTCGCAAGGCCAAAAGGGGGATTTGAGATTCTTGGGGTAGGGATTCCTTACTTTGAACCCTATTATGGGAACCCTAAGACTGCTACAGTCTCGCCTCAGTGCAGCGAACGGCAACGGCCCTGCAAAGCATCCCCACTGGCCTGGCAAGGTGCCCACGGCAAGGTACGCCATGTGAAAGGTGCTTAAATCATGTGCTGCTGCAAGAATGACTACTACTGGTCACCAAGACTGCCTGCCTCTGTCGCGAACAGCATGCCAGTCGGACCGGTCTTTTCGTAAACCACCCAGAAACCGCAATACCAGTAACACTAAATGCACTAGATGATAAGTATATAGCACAAGGCAAGCATCAAACATTGCTGGACTGGCCCGGTCGGGAGTGGCTTTGCGAACTGCTCCACGGCAGCGATGGCCTGCGAATTAGCACAGCGTGGAATCGAGACAAACTGGATGCTTCAGCAATCGGCTTCGAGAATTCGGCAGACATTTCGAGATGGCCTGTTGTTCGCCGGGATCGTCTGGACAGTCGAAGTAGATGACAACTTTCTCGAAGCCGTTGGCATGATGATGAAGTATCAGGCTCTCCAGCATTCTGGGCGCGATTCCCCTGGAGCACCAGGTCACCATGCATGAAGACTCCAACTCGGAGAAACACCACCTTAAACCCTAAACACCAGATCGCTGAATGCAGTCTACATCATGGAACCCTCGGAATAGTAGGGGGGGTTCGGTTCTGCTCAAGCCTGGCCTCACCATGGAGGCCTCAGATTGCAGAGGGTCCAAAGCCGGGTCACGCTTCCCTGCGGCTCAGGGCTCGGCAACGCACAGCCGCGGCAAGGGGCGGTCAAGATCGCGATGGTCTTCATGCAGCAAAGGCGGCGCCTAAAGGTCTTTCGATTCAGGGCGGTATTTGACAGAAGTTCGAAGCCAGGCTGTAGAAACGGCGTGGCCTCAAAGATGGTGCCGTCCGGGGAATGCCAGCCACTCAACCTCGATGCAGCATCAACTCCCTGGGCCATCCGAACTCCCGGAAGGCTCCGGCAATACACCTTTCTAGGAGCCACCGAGTCTGTAGCCATGCGAGGTCGACAAGTGACTTTGGCCTCAAGCCTGCCACGGCACTCGCTTTAGCCAACAGTCTTAATATACCCCGGAGCAGTCCCCACCTTTTCGGAGCTTTCGCCAAAGTACACCGTTGGCCTTTTGGCAACGGTATGCAATGGCCATGGCATGGCAGGTTTTTTGGGCCACAGTTGAGGGGCAATCCGGCACCTCAGCACACTGGAGCGCTTCGCTGTATTGCCATTCCTGTTGCGATGCGCGATTACCGGGAGGCTAGACACATTCGGCATATTCTGAACTTAGGGCCGGTCTGGGGATCCATGGGGTGCCATATGAGTCATTGAGTTGAGGGGCTGTCCTCAAGGTTGGTGCTGCAGTGGTGAAGGTAACGTGGCAACCCGAAACGACGTCCATCCACAAGAACGAACCTCGAAGCAGATGGAAAGGTGCAACGTGCCACAATCTTCTACTCGTACTCTTACATGTCTGGGAACGCAGCACCGGGGGCTCATCATCACAGTCCTGCAAAAGGAAGGTGCGACGCACTTCAGCTTCCAGAATCCTCGCCCTGCGCTTCTGAAAAGTTGCCTCGCTGTCAGCCAGGACATTGCTCGCCCACACCTGCTCGACCATACTGCACAACACCTCAACCGACCTGTAACTGAGAGCCTTCAGAAGTTTACCAGCTTATCAAGCTGTTCATCTCACGCCCGGGTTTGGCCGCTTTGCGCAAACTGCCTCGTCTTCATGTAGCCGCGCCCAGCCGTCAGAGAAGTCTCGAACGAGGACTACTTGGCCGTACTCCAGCAGCCCGACCTGCCAGCCCGTTTTGCTTTTGGTTCTCGGGTCAAGCTCGAAAGTCTTCATGACATCAGTACAATGCAGAAATGCAACTACAATCAACAATGCCAGTATAGTCTAGTACTATCATACTCGTATAACGCTGTTACAGTGCTTTCCTGATATTCCTCGGTATGATTCCACGAGGAAAAGGGTGTGGCAGGTTGTTGCCTTCGCAGCGTCGATCTGGGGCTGGGCGCGAAGCACCACATCGTCTTCTGCGACCTGGAGCAGGGATCTGACAAGGGCCCTACCAGGGCCCAGGAGGGCGCCTTAAATCACTGAACCCAAAGAAGGAAGGCCCCATAATTATATTGCTGTAATACTGTTGCAATACTAGCTAACTACTGTACTGGACTACGACACTAATTACTACAAAATGCCAGAGCAAGTAGCTTAATTTACCCTGGAGGCACCTCCAAGAGGAACTTCTCTTGTGCTCGGCCCTTCAGCTGCTCCAACATCTCCGCACGGCTGCATGGCCACCCGAGAACGTGCGAAGAGAGAAACTCTGCAGGCTGTAGGGGTGAGGGGTGGTGGGGGTGGGGTAGGGGTACGGGTGGGAGTGTGGTTAGGGGTGGGCACGTCTTTATAGAGAGTGAAGTCTCTTCTGGAAACAGCATTGCGAACATCCGATGGTGTGCTGAACACAGATGCTTGACTACAGCCCGTGCACAGCACGCATACCCGCGTTTCTAAAAATGCTCATGTGACACATGTGCTCCTTGATCCATGGCTGCAGCAGGATTTGCCCCCTCTCTGAAGCAGCCACTTACCTCTGGTTAGTTGGGAATGGAGGAATGGGGCACAATTATAACTACTATTACTACCATTCTTCCCCTCCCAACTAACCAAAGGTAAAGTATAGGATGACCAAGGCCCCTATATTATAGCACCCTTATAGATCCCTTGTAGGAACCCTTATAGACCCCTTTAAAAGGCCCCTTCCATTCCCTACTAACCACAGGTAAGGTCATCGCTGGCCGGAGACCTGGGGCTCTAACCAGCTTTCGGACCTCGAGGTTCTTGGAGCCTCGGGGGATCAGGCAGAGAGCTCCTCTTTCTGAAGAAAGGCTGCGGAGCGGTGCCTGTGTTCACCCGCCGGAGAGCCGCAGACCTCAGATCCGGGAAAACAGGGTAGTATACTTATCTTTAATATGGAATCCCCAAAATAGTATAGGTAATTATTAAGGGCCTCGATAGTAAGGCTACGTCCCAAGAGTGGAGAGGTGGGAGCAGCAGCATTAGCACAGGCTGCTACAGGGCCCGGGCGCATCATCCGGATCCATGTAGAACCGGCCGAGTCTTTGCTCGACGTCCCTCGAAAAAATCGCACACCGCGGAAGAGCGGCTCGAGAGCATCGTGTGGGGAGCCGAGGCCCGGGCTCTAAAACAGGCGACCCCGATGGGTCCGTCCTCACAGCACAGCACAAAGGGAGAGGAGGCTGCTTTCATATGGGTGGTTGTCAAAATTAGGGTCCCTTTTTGGGGCCCTATTATAGTACGGCACCTATATAGGGTACCCAAAAAGGGACCTGAATTTCGACAACTACCCATATGTTCGCCCTCCGAAGACTCCGAGACTCCCGCACTGCGTAGACAGGCACCTCTCCCAAGAGCCTGGCAGCACCCGGAGAGCCGACTTCAAGCGGATAATCCATGGGTGGTTGTCAAAATTATGGCCCCTTTTTGAGAAACCATAATGGGGACCCAAGAAGGGACCCTAATTTTGACAACCACCCCCATAGGTTCCCAAGTCTACCTCGTAATCTTCGACTTGTATGTGTCCAAGTCGATCGGCACTTTGTCTGCAGCGCAGAGGCGAAAGAGAAAATTCCACGCGTCTCGGCGACTTTGCGTCGGTCCTTCGGCTTGCGCACTATAGGCCGGCCAGTCCTTGCGGGACAGGACGTGAGGACGTGGAAAGCCGACAGGTTCCTACGAGTCTAAAAGGATTCCCCTGTGGCTTCCTCGGCAGCCAGCAGTGCTACAGCAGGGCCCAAAACCTCGCGCAGGTTTAGAAGGGTTTAGAGTTTATAGGGCTTGGGGGTTTAGGGTTTTGGGTTTCAAGGTTTAGTCCAGATGTCTCACCACGGCCGATAGCTGAGGGTAGCATAGCACACTTTCCCAATGCAGCCTGGCGCCGCAAACGGCGGTGGAAGCCATAAGATCCTGGACCTGCATCCGAAGAGGGATCCAACGAGGCACAAACTGCCCCTCTAAAACCATGTAGTGCCGTTTAAGTTACAGATATTATAACCCTAAACCCGAATCACCGTAAACTCTGAACCCTAAGCCTTTTTGTGTAAAGCCCCGTGGGCCAGACAGGCGAAGCTGCCTGCTCTCCCCGTGCTCTGGGACCAGGCAACCTCGACCTGGAGCTGAAATGGAGGCGTCAGAGGATCTAATAAGAACAATAACAATCAGAAGAATAATGATATGAAGAAGCATAGGAAACATGACAACACTGTTAAAAGACTAGCAAGAGAAGAAGAAGAAGAAGAAGAAGAAGAATAGGAAGCAAAACAGGAATCAGACTAGGAACAATCATAATCATGATGCTCACAAAACACGAAAAAGGCTGAGAATCAGGAAGCAGGGTTGTATGTGTGGTTCTCCGAAGTAGGCTCCCTTTCTTCTGCGGCGCCCCTAACAGAGTTACACAACAGCTATGGGCCCTTGAAAACCAGAAGTGGGGTTGAGATGATAATATAGCGACGTAAATGATTGGCAATACTATTTTGGGGGATTCCTTGTTATGCTTATCGTATGACGGGCCCCAAAATCCTATTCTAATCGCCAAGGCCTCTTTATTAATTATGGACGATGCTGGCAAAATCGAGTCGAGCACTCCGACTGGAGAGCTCTGCCGGAAGATGAGGCTGAGAACCTCAAAACTCAAGCAAATCACGCAGTCATGCAGTCTGGGGTGACGTTGTGTGAGAAATCCGTTCTGGTGTACAACGTGCCGCAAGCTCAGCAATGGAGTTCCAGTCATGATCCGGGTAGATGCTTCCAGGGAGCCCCTAGCAGGATCAGGCCCGCGTCTCGGATCCATAGCCTGCCCTGTCGCGACTTTCGTGCTCGCTCGTTTGGCTGCATGCTGCAAAGTCGAGCCGAAATCTCTGCACGAAAATGCAAAAAACTACATGGCCAAGGTGAGTCAAAACACAAAATCTGATGCACTGTCAGGGCTGGCTTACCAATGAGGGCCGAGGTTGGAATCCAGCGAATTCTTCAGGATCTTGGCCTTCAGGGGACCAGCTTGGAGGGGACGGGGTACCCCAAATGGGAGTTTCCGAAAATTAGGGGTGCCTTATTTTGGGGTCCTTATAATAAGGATCCTACTATTATCAGGCTACTATATTAGGGTCCCGTTTTTTCGGAAACTCTCACTCCCAAATCAACGTCAACTTGAAGGCTCTGACGAACAAGGTCCATCTGGCAAGCTCCACCAGCGTCTCGTCCTCGGAGTTGGTACTGAAAGACAGCTGACTCGTTGACCCGGGCGTTCGCATGTGAATCGGCCTTGTTGTGCTTGACATGCAAGTTGTAGTACATGTTCACTGCGTCCTCGGCCAGCTGCTTACAATGCAGGCATGGCACCCAAGCTACGCAGCTAAGCGCTGCCTGTATTCGCTTTCGATCCTTGGGAGCGAGGTCGCATTTTTGAAGCTTGGCCTGCGCAACTCTCGGCAATACTGCAGTGCAATGCAACGAAAGGCAACATAGCAACATACAGATAACGGAAGTGACATGCCCACCTCGACTATGTCGCCGTCTTGCGACATGGCAGCTTGAGAGGAGTTCCGCCGCCTACTTCCTGAATGTTCGGTGATATGTACCCGTGTCCACATCACTGCAGGTCAAACTGCCGCAGGTCTTTGCGGTATTCAGCTATGTGCAACTGCGCAAGTTGGCGGGCATCCTGGGATGTCGTTGTTCATGCATTCTGAAGGGCAAAAGCCTGAAGCGATCAATGGGCGCGCCAGTGCTGGCCCACGAGCACTGATCCGGTAGCAATCAAAGTCATAAGAATAACGACAAGCATGGATCGTAAAATGCCCAAGATCACGGCACGATTTGAGTGATCAGACAGGGCAGGAATACTGGTGGTGATGCTTAGTATCTGTAGAAGTAGAGGTGGTGGCCTTGGTGGTGCTAGTGGTAGTGGCAGGGGTACTTGTAGTGGTAGTTGGCCGTCGTCGTCGTAGTAGTAGTCGTCGTCGTCGTACTAGTACTAATACTAGTACTACTAGTTGCAGTAGTGGTAGCGACTTAATACTGGTGCTGCTGCGTTGATTGCATCAACCGCAAGTGGTAACCTGCATGACCTTGACAGGTGGCGACCTTCATGACCTGCGTCACAGCGAGCAAATATCGGTTCTGTTCTGCTCTGCTTACCGAAGACATGGACAGTGGTCAGCGCAACCCTGCATCACGCAAATGCGAGACTGACAGTCAGTCGTTATGGAATTTTGACACTAGTATGGCCTAGTATGACCCACACACACTCCACACACACACACACACCATCTCGCATCAACTCGCACCAAGCTTGTTCTTGTCGCTGCGGGTCGTCACGAAAGTAGCGGGCTCACAATCTGATGCTTCATGAAACTGGCATACCTGGACCAGATACACGATTCCACAGGAAAAGTCAGAAGAGATTGTTGAGTCCAGCCGGTGCCAGACATGCAGCGCAAGGGCAGAGCGCCTTGATCCCTCATTGGAAACCAGCTCGTCATGTGTGCCCTGCTCTACCACGTGGCCCTTGTCCAAGACCTTGGCAGTGTGTCGCGATCGCACGGCCTGCAACACATGAAACAACGAATGAGGCGAATGCGAGAATTTTCGTCGACCGCACCACGGTGGACAGGCGATGCCTGCTCTGCGTCTGCACTGCCCACAAGACCCAATGACGACAGACTGGTCTGAGCTTGCAGCGCAATGATGAAGGTGGTCTTGCCTTCGCCGGGATTGCGGGACTGTGCTCGGGTCTCGGTAGATACTAGAATGACCAGACATCAGCTTCCCAGACTGCACCGCCATCTCTAAGACCGAAAAAGCAAGGAGAGCAGAGACATGAAGACTTGCCTCTCATCAGCTCATCGAGAGCTTGCTGTACAATGTGCTCATTCTCGCTGTCCAAGGCACTGGTCGCCTGGTAGGAACAGAAAACAATGTATAAGTATGAAAGCGCGATTCAGCAGCCTCACCTAAAGTTCCCCGGGTCATCTGCCTCATCCAAGACGAGCATCTTGGGATTTCGGATGATTGCTCGCGCGATGGCCTCTGCGGCAGCTTGTGGCCAGACTTCAACAAGCTGAAGATGCGTTTGCAGAAACGGCACCAGAAATCAGTCCCCATCTTGGTTAACATGATAATCGGAGCTCGGCAGATTGTTGCCGACAGCCCCTTGATGATAGCAAGAATAACAACGCAATAACAGTCAATAGCATCAACAGCACTCACAGTAGCAAAAGGATAATACTGGCAACAGTTAACCATCATAATATATCATAATCATCGTCATTATCACCATCACCATGATAATGGTACTAACATTGGCATTATTAGCAGCAGCAGTAACAATCATAATGACAATGCATACTATACTGACTATGGAAGCCTGACAAGTATTGGCTAATATAATAGCACGCCCCAACCTTATTCTAATCATTGAGGCCCCTTACATTACAGAACCTTCATTCTAGCTCCCTTCTAGAACCCATTCAAGAACCCGACAAGGGAACCTCACTGATTCTAACTGGTACATTAACGTCCCGATGGTCCGGATATTGGGGGCTTCCGAAAATAGGGGACCCAAATCTAATACCCTAAATAGTAGGATCCTTATTATAAGGACCCCAAAATAAGGTACCCCTAATTTTCGAGATATGTCACACTTATGCTCTGAGACGTCGACGACGCGCTGCTTTTGCCCACCAGATATTCGAGCTGCGCGCTCTCCGGGATGGGTCCTCGCCGGGCTTTTTTGGGGGATTGCCATTTAAGGTTCTTTTTAAGTTGAACTGCACCCTTTCTCCGAAAAAGCGCTGGCATTTTGCGGTTTAAGGTTTGGAGTCTAGATTTTTGGGTGTAAGGTTGAGGGTTCAGGGATATTGACCCTGAGTAAACCTGCAAACGCGTAAACGCCACCATATACCCTCATAGTAGCCCTATCACAATCCTACAGCCCTTAAAAGGAACCCTATCACCGCTATAGAAACTCTACGAGACTACGAGATCTATCATAAACCTATGATTCTCCTGAACTCGCAAAGCCTGTCGAGTCTGGTCTTCTCCCAAAACACAACGAGTCGATGAGTTAATAAGGGTTCTTATGAGGCTTTGGAAGGGTACTGCAAGTGCCGTACAGTAATACTTCGAATGGAGCTTTGTGGTGCATTATAGTGAGCATCATTCACATGGACGCGGTTCACTTAATCTTCGCAGCGACAGTCGCAGGCGAAGGCAATGAAACAACACGGCAAGGAAGGGCATATACCTTAAACAACAAACCCTGAACCCAAAATCAAAAACCCTAGACCCTGAACCCAATATCCTAAACTTTAAATGCACAAACCCTAAACCCTGAAGCCAACATCCTGAACTCTAAAGCCCAAAACCCTAAACGCTGAATCCGACCCCAACCCTAAATCCTAAACCTAAACCGTAACCCTAAATCCTACCATCGTCGGAAGGCCAAGGCCGCAGCTCGTATCCGCTTTGCAGGTCCGTGATGAACTTGTGAGCGTTAGCTCGGCGAGCAGCTGCCTGGGGAAAGAAAGGCGGGCTGAAGGTACCGCAAGAAAGGGACTATAGGGGGGTTTAGATGTAGCGTTTAAGGTTTAGGGACCACAGGATAGAGGTTTAGGGTTCGGGATTGTGGAACTAGGGGATTAAGCTTGAAGCTTTGTGGTTTGGGGTTGAGGGTTTAGGATTCCCAAACTGTGAAGACCTTGGGGAATTCAGATTCATGTCCAGTGCTTACAAGCTGCATGTCGAACTTGGTCATGGTTGAATTGTAGCAGGCTATTGCTTTCAGAATCTGCTAGACAAAAGGTCGGCAGCAAAGGTAAGTGGCTGCAGCATCACCATCGCTCGACTGCCGTTATTCCTCCTCGTTATTCCTCTAAACTCGTTTTCATCTTCATCATGACCGCCACGATAGCCGTCATCATCGTCGTCATGACAATCATCTGCTTCTTCTTCTTGGTAATTGCTAGGCAGAGCAAAAACCTGGTCGCTTAGTACCCGGCCTCGATCTCTTCCCTGGGTGCACCTTTGGCACTTCCGTAGGCGATGTTGTCGCTCAACTTCCTGGACACTTGCCACTGACATTCACTTGAGCATTCTGAAGCACGGCCAGCTCTGCCACCTGTCGAAGAGAACGGGCTCTTGCTCCACGAAGCCGATCTGCGAACGGAGCCAGCGGATGTTGTAGCTCCTCCGTGCAGAGGGTGCAGCATTGCGCTCTCAACGAGCGCGGCTACGTGTGAATTTCCGAAAATAGGGGACCCTAACATAATACCCTAAATCGTAGGATCCTTATTATAAGGACCCCAAAATAAGGCACCCCTTTTCGGAAACTCCCACATTCTTGCAACTGGATCCTGTAGTCTAAGCCGTCCAACGTGATCGATCCGTCGCTTGGATCCTCGATGCTCAAGTCTTGGAAGGCATGTTTTTTTTTGTTTTGAACCCTCTTTTCCGTCTGCCCAGGGGACGTCCGAAATGCCTTTTACGACTGAGGCGCATGGGTTTAGGGTTTAGGGTTTAGGGCATGTGCCACAATTGCCACACAAGTCTAGACTAAGCAACGGCCTGATTATCAACTGGCTTCTGTAAAGACAGTAGCAACCCTTAACACCTTGTGATGAAGTCTAAACCCTTAACCTTTGATCTTAAACCTTAAACCCTTAACCCCTGATCCTAAAACCCTACACCCTGCGTCAAACCCTAATCCGACTAGCAAGTGCAACAATGCACTTACCTTTGGTTAGTAGGGAATGGAGGAATGGGGTAGAATTAGAGCTACTGTTACTACCATTCTTCCATTCCCTACTAACCAAAGGTAAGGTATAGGATTACTAAGGCCCCTATAGTATAGTACCCTTATAGATCCCTTGTAGTAACCCTTATAGACCCCTTTAAAAGGCCCCTTCCATTCCCTTCTAACCAAAGGTAAGACTAAGGTCTAAACCCTAAACTCTAAACCCCTAAACCCTAAACGTAAGGGCAGGCTGAGGCCGAGTCATAGTATCGCAACAGGAGACGGCCAAGCGTTGTCCTCGCATCTAGGACAGGCCTATCGTAGGTTCTGCGTACTGCGTACTATCTTCCTTCATGACGCCATGCCGCTGACTGCCTTTCCGGCTATAGCTGTGTATATACACATACTTCGCCTCATTTTGTCATATGTGTCTCTATTTGGCTACTGTATTCCTTGTCCATTTGCTTGCTCATCTCCCTTCTGCGCCAATTATGTATCTCGATACACCCAATACCTCGTCTGTTGCCATTGAATACTGCTCATGATTGATGTCGCCTGTACATGAGTATGTAACCTATGTGGTACATGAACGACTATATGCTGTTGGGCTGAGGTCCGCGCTTACCCGCACCGCTCTCACCGATCAAGGCAACGATGTCCTCGCAAACAAAAACGCGAACAGCGCGAAATGCACGGCTGCTTGCAGAAATCGCGGCGGGGATGCCCCTGGATTGGCTTCAAGTCGAACCTTTGTCAACACCTGCGAAGCACAGCTCTGCTTTTTGCTGGGAA